TTACGTGAAGTTAAGCTGGAAGCGTTTGTGAAGATTCATATTTTTATGAAAGGAGTTTCCTATCCGCATCCCTCTGTGGGCACGGGGGTAGAATAGGCCCAACGTAATCCCTGCGTGTCGTAAAAGACGACTAATAGGGAAACTCTTGCTTACCGGTTATTTACACTGAAACATTTAACCCCATTTCCAGTTAAATCAGTCATCAAACATTGTTTAGTCGATAAGCAAGCTATCCACGGTCAGAAGAGATAATTCTCACAATCGAAAACATGAAAATAGGGGTGTTTTAGGGATTTCAAAAAATCTGCCGCTAAAAGTTAACTCATCAGTGTAGGAAATCTTCGAATCACACGTTTTTTAAAACATAATGATGCCGTGCGATTCGATCGTGCGGGAATATCCCGTATGGACAAGTTCGAGCCATCAGAGTCGCTGCTCACCCCCTAATATTCGAGCAAGCCATCGTTTACATGTTAATTATTAGCCGGTGGAGGGCATCGTCGAGGCTAATGTTTCGCAAGCGTTGAACGTCCACGGTTTCGGAACAGCCTGTTGCATGCTGGCACACACAGAACTGACGTCATTTCCACCACCGATCGCTGCACAACGCAGAGTGGGGTGGAAAACTGACTGACTCAGGGGCGTTGATGGTAGTGGGGCAAAAAGGGGAATATAACGCTCGGAGGGCGTGCTTGACAAAGGCGTGGTTACCGTGTTCCCACCCAACAATAAACAAGCGACTCTGACGTTAATTTGTTTGTTTTTACCCTTCTGCGAGCTCTTTCGCTCTTTTGCTCCTTCGCGCGAGACCTAAGCTTTCTTTTTTCTCCCCGCTACGGAGCCTACCTTTCACCTGTCCTCGTCCCCTGCGTGCGCGCGGACAGGGACGCTCTACTGCCAAGATACATCCTACATGGGCAACATTTTTGAAGAAGCGGTTAGATTTGATAAGTAGATTTCAAAGATTTCGATCATTTCGAAGAGACGTGCGATTTTGAATGGACAACTCTGTGCTTGACACGGAGAAAAGGGTGGGCGAATTGCATTAGAAGATCTCTATCTAGTTCCTAGATGTGAACTGCGTAGCAACTCCACCAATTAGTTAAATCAACTCTACTACTGTCGTATTAATTTTGTATAAATTGTAAATGGTTTGGAGCAATTGTTAAGAGAAATTCAGCTGAACGAAAAGAATTTAGCTGAGATGCAAAGGTGATATACCTATTTGGTTGGTTGGTTGATTGTTAGACGAGTAGTGGTTGAAATACACTTGAACGTAATGCTTAGAGGAACTGAACATTCAAGAGAACTCAAGATCCACGGCATACTTTTGAGAGTCTTGGTCTACTTTTTGAGTAGGTATACCTTTTGAAACTTCAAATAATTCTGCACTGCTTCTCGATCTTTTAAAAATTTATTTTCAAATTTTTCATTATGTTAAATTTTCGTTATTTCACACGAACTTTGATACTCTTTTCTATTGCAAATTCAGTGATTCAGTGATTCAGAGTTCTATTTAATTTGACCACGAATATTCTTACGAAGAAGAAGTCGAATTTTGCACACCAGTTTATTGACATTGACGTTACTTGCATTTACACATTTGACAAGTAAAAAAAATGTATTTTATCTTCCATTTTTTTCGAAGAGAATCCTGTGATTATTATATTAGATAACATAGATAATGTATAAGTAATTAGAATTCCCGTGTAGTAAATTGGCGATTCTAGCACTGTCACATACCGCGTAGTAGAATAGGACGTTCTACGTACGGCGCAGGAACGTGACTAAATCTATTAGTAAGAAGTTTCACGCTCTCTTTCCATTAATTTTCACTCTTTGTTCTTCTCATCATTCTTCGTTAATATTGCACTGAAACACGTTTGTAAATTTATTAAGCCTTGCAATTACAACAAATTGCAAATCATTGTGCGAACCTAATAAACGTGAGAATGTATCAAAGAAATATTTACGGACAGAATTTGATGTTGTTAATTTTCATCTAGATTTTTTATTTTTACTTTGATTATATTTAGATGTAAACCTACTTGGGTATACTTAAATTAACCTAAATAATTTAGGAAAATCACAGGAGGAAAGTTCAATCAGGTGAGAGGAGAAAGGTGTGACTAATCACAGCCAGTGTGGAAATATTATCCCATGCTGATACAGATCCACCCTAGATATGAAATTCGTTAGAATCGATCTTAGCCGAGCGGCGGAGGGATGCTCGGAAACGGGGAACGACTTGACCTTGGCTGGATTCACGCGTAGCTGAGCTAACGCAAAATCGAAACGCGTTACTTCCACAGCGTGGATCTCCTAAAGCTGGCTTCACATCGTGACTTGCAATCTACAGCCTCCTGAAACATGTATCCAACTGGTGAAAATCTAAAATCATATTTTCACGCTGTTTTATCTTGTTTTAATTGATTAACATTTCCTCTCTATCTGTGGTATCAATTGTGATTCTACAGTGACAAGTAAGAAGTTTTTATCGTATCGAAGCTCTGTTTTTAAGCCCCGTTTTGTTTAAACTTTTACTTGTTGGGGTAAAAAATTGAAGTTTAATAGTGATTAAGTGGAGAAATGAAAAGAGATCGTAACAGACATTCGCCAGAAATTCGATAAAAATCAAACGATTCGACTGTTCAGAGAAATATCATCGTCTCCGTCTTTCACGAGTTATTTTGTTTGATCTAATTCGCGCGCAAGCGTCGGAACCGCTGACCATTGCTTCGTTAATGATCGAGTAAAACGTTTGATAGCACATTTTCGCCATAAATAGTAAAGCACATTTGTGAACATTTAGATACACGGGAATCATAGTAACCGGCTAGCATCTAAAATCATCCCATTCAATGATACAAATGTGTATGTTATTATTGTCATTGTCTTCAAAGACTGAAAGATTTGAAAAATATAATTGGAAACGTTAGTGAAAATTTCACAAATACGAAAGTCTAATACTTCACAAATACGAAAGTCTAATATTTCACAAATACGAAATTCTATACTTGCGTATAGAATTTGAAACGCGCGTAATGCTGTCAAAAAGGAACTGAAAATCGTGGTGGCAATTCGTTGTCGAAGGCGTTTCGTGTGAAACGAGCTTGTTTCTTAGTAAAGGGAGGACCTAAATGTGGGCTCGCGCCACTGACAGGGGTTGATGCAGTTATTCCTTTCCCTGCCGGGCCACCCCTCGTCTCGAAGCGACTCGCGGGGTAGTCTGTGCGAGCTCGTCACAGAAGAAGAGAGGGTGACTCACCCCCTTGGTACGCCATGTACTTTCGAGTGCATAGCACCCACAACCGAGCCACGCGTGACTAGATACCGTTTTCGCGTAAAGGGGGCCACTGGAAATTATATTTTAATACATCCACCCGGGATTTCCAAGGTGAGAACCTGCCCACCACTCATCTGCATCATCTACTCGGATAGATGTTTCTATGACAATGAATCTGAGAGCTTGTCAGGGGTTGAATTTCTTTCGAAGTTTTCCAGGAATCGACTAAGAGCTGCTACGTGTGTCAATTATTTGTGGAAAAGATTGCCAATAAGAAACATTTTAACAAAAATATCCGTCAGAGAGTTTGTTGAGCATTTTGAATCGCTTTGTTCTTTAAACTACCCTTAGGCTGACATGAGATCACGTGACCTTCTTTTTTTGAAATTTTTCTCTGGAAACAAAGAAGTCTGAAAATTTCTTGCTGAAATGGAAAAATTTAAAGATCGTGGTGTTAAAAACAGAGATTTTCTTCGCCGGCAATGACAGTCGCGGTCTTCCAGAACGAAGCCTAAGCTAGAACTCTGATTTCTCTAAATTCACCCGTTCAAAAAGTCAAAAGGGTCGGGAGGTTGGATGGAAACGTAGAGACTCGAGCCAGGAAACTCATAAAAATAATTCGAAGGCAGTGATCGTGGCGCGCAAGTAGGCAGTCGGTCTCCATCTGGCGCGAACTTATCGCACGCACCCTTATCCCAACTCTGTTGAACCGCGTCTGCGCAGCGTAGTTGTACCACGCGCCCTCCGATGAGCCTTCCGCACGGTTGAGCATTTCCACCATTCAGAATCGATGATGTCACGAAGCGGAGCCAGCATCCCCACTGTCGAGCAGTTTCGAGGGTGGTGGTGGCAGCGTTGCCCTCCGCCCATTGGTCCAACGTACTTCTCGGCACCAACACGAATCGCGGGGTCGCCAGCACGACCCAACGAGAGTCCGCAAGTCGTTGCGTGCCAGTCCGTGCGTGTGCTTTACCTAATAATATTTCCACGGCCAGCGTTGCCTGCCAGTGCTCTCTCTTCGAGCTTCTTGCCTTCTCTCTCTCTCTCTCTCTTTCTCTCTTTTACTCTCTCTCTGTCTCCCTCCCTCCTTCTCTCTCTCTCTCTCTCTCTCTCTCTTTCTCTCCGTCTATATCGCACGTTGTCTAACCCCCGTGTGCGTGTATGTGTGTGTGTATGTGTGTGTGTGTGTCTGTGTGTGTGTGGAAACACGGGGGTTCTCTCTCTGGAGAGAGAGCCAAGAAAGCAGAAGAATCACGCTGCAGAGCAGCACGTGTGCTGCGCTCGTACGGATCGTACGAGCCACCCCCGTCGCATTCTGCTTGCCACCAAGAGTTCAGCCTCCGCGAGGATTTAATTCTGCCCGATAATCGTCGATAGAACACTTAGTGTTCTCACGCAGTTCGTCTCGGTTCGCTCGGATTTCAAAACCGCTCGTTCGACCACAGTCGGTGAATTTGGTGAAAGACACGATCCTTGGAATAAGAAGATCCGATTTCCAAAAGTAGATAAAGGAAAGAGAGAGAGAGAGAGAGGCAGAGAGAGAGAGAGAGAGAGAGAGAATCGTAGATCGGTCGGTTGAAGATTTTGTTGGACTTGGTCTTGATTTTCATCCGGTGTTTGTTGTATGAAGTTTTCGCAAAGGACGTGTAAGAGACGATAAATTGCACAGTGGTAGGAAACGCGAGTGACTGTAACTGACGCGACGAGCCTGGTTTCGTGAAAATTGTGCCAAAGTGCACAAAGTGCGACAATACCACGTTGCTTATCCCGGATTCCTTGTGCTGCGCGCCCTGAGGAGGCTGGCCGAGCGATAGGCATCGGCCGACGGCAGCTTTTGGTACGTAATCACGTGTCTTCGTTTGCTGATACAACTTCTCCACGTTTCTCAACAACTTGTCTACTTCCCTGAAAAATTGACTGATCGACGTTGTGTTATCGATGTAATTAACTCACGTTTTTGTTTGAACTATGGAAAAAAAATTGTACTTTACGTATTAAAATTAGATTTACCTTTGATCGTTTAGTTAGTCAATAATTATACTCGTCTGGTATGAAAGGGTTATTAATGATCAGTCAAGTGATCATTCTCTAAATGAATTAAAATAGTACAAAACTTTACGTAACAGTGTTTCTTAAAGTCGGATGAAGAAATAATTATTTTCTAAATTATTCAGTCTAAATTTTTGATCGTTTCGTGACACAGTTGATTTGAAATTAGAAACGCGCAGATAATTTGTATTGAAATCGTAAATTCAAGATCTTTATTATAATTTTATACATCGAAACCAAAATGAATGAAATGACGTTAAATTCGATTCGACGTAACGAAACCACTGTGTCAAGGATTTTCTAGTAGTATGTATTTGAGGTATTTGTTCTTAATCGAGATCATTCCACGCCCCAAACGAAATTATTTCATTCGAATCATTAACGTTAAATCGAGCAGTAATTAATTGATTGAGCAATGAAAATCTGAGCGTTAAATGGATTTATTATTTACGCTTGAGAAGTATTAATTCGGTTGACTGAGTCTTTACTTCTATTCGGGATTAATGAATTTGAACAAAACTTCTTGCACACGCTGTATCGCGACAATTTGTTTTCTTTGAAACGCAATTTTGAAAATGTGACTCTCAATCCACACTTTTCTCATTTGTATAGACATTTATTTAAATTAATTGTTAGTTCAGAGTTGTCAAGAGAGTGTAGAATTTCATAAAAATATCAGAGGTTGTCTGTTGTATCTTGGAAAATTTTTTTCATAAAAAGTCTGAAATTGAAATAAAAGACTATTAGATATTATTGATTTATTTGTTTTTTTCAGTGATTAAAGTTTTGTTGTTAGGCCGATCCGTCTTAGATTGTTAGACCGATATTCTTCCAGGTCTTCAGATCGAAGCAAAATACGTATAAAATAAAAACTTCTCGCGCTTGTGCTTTCGTAAAAATTTATTATCGTTGAATTGCAACAATTCGTTCGATGGATCTTGTAAAAAGATCTACAGACTGTTCGAACGCGTGAGCAACACGGGAAGGGAGACGAGACACGCGTGCAAGCGTGCGGGAGAGATGGCGAAACAGAGACAGTGAAACTCAACGTACCGTTCAATCACATTCATCCCTGATATAACGCGCCCATAGAGGGTGTATTGTGCCTTAAGCTGTATTATACGGTACGTGTATGCAATCTGCATCCTCGCACACGCACCGTGTAGTCGCGTTCACCGCTGATACTGACTATTAAGCGGCAAGACAAGCGAGAGGGTTGCTTCCTTTCGCCGGCGTCTATTTAGCGAAACACGTCGCGCGAGCTGAAGAGAGAGTCACGTTTCTGAAAACCGATTACGCGTCGCGTCGGAAAACACGCTTTCCCTTCGACGCCGCGAAGCGACCAGACGCTTTATTTAACGACGTGACGATCGCAATGAGTTAATAAACCGATCTGCAAAAGAGAAAAAGAAAAAAATAATACATTCTCAACTGGATAAATATTTTATTTGCAATTGATTGTTGAAAAATAGAGGATAGAGATTGTAATGCTGTTATTTCTCAGAGAAATGTACGAAAAGATTTCTTTCGTTCTCAAAGAGAAAAGGATACTCGAAACATTCGAGCTGTAACTAACATAGCTACGTATCTCGTCGAATAGTACAAACAGTGTGTAATCTCTGTCTGACTGAATATTCCCCGTTTCCCTGTATCTCTTGTCGCGTGGTTCGCGCAGTATTATGGTGTAATTAGGCAATAGAGTACATGACTCGACGTGTAAACCCTGTGAAGCGAACGAACCCGGTATATCCGCGGTGAATGCCTCGCGTACAAGTGTTGGACACCCCGCGGTGACATTCGACGTGCACATTGTGAACGTGCCTTTCCCTCGAGTCGAGGGTTCGTTATTCGCCGAGGCTTTTCTAGCGGTGGTTCACTCAGTTTTCGACGCTTAAAAACTGTTTTGTGCCTGCATAGGTCTACCACGTTACGTGTAGACGACAGGCATGTATTGATTGTACGTGAAGAGGTGATCGAACCGTTCGAGGATGAAAGAGATTCTATAACCCTTTATGGTCCATCTGTTTCGAACAATCGTCAGCTCGGTTGCTTGGCAGAGCTATATCGATGTTTGATGAAAATTAGGTTTTCATTTAGAATGGTGAGTAAGAGATCAATTGCGGTTGATGTATGCAGGTAGGAAGCACTAGAGAAAGGAAGGTTCGTAATTAGACTGCTGATTTTTCTACAATTTTATGGAAGAAAAGAAAAAAGAGAAATAAATCTTGATTCAACAATTAAACATTTAACAAGAAAAATTGAAATCGTGACTATAGAGAGGAGAAGAAACGTTTTAAGAACGTCTGTTGTAAGTAGAGATTTTCCCCTTGGAAGACCGGAATTGCATTAAAGTAAATCGTTTTACACGCCTGGAGGGGCTTCCATAAGATCTATAATCGTTTAACGGCCAGTTAACTATACATATTATTAACGTGTCGTTAAACAGCCGTGGATATCGCGTAAATGATATACATATGTGCATTAACGTTGATCAATGAAGCGTCCAGCGATTTATTACACACGTATATAAAAACTACCATTACGAAAATAAATTATCCTAAATTCATTAACCTTTTGTGTTACTCTTGTCTCGCGTGATGAACGACGTGCGCCCAGCGAAATCCGCGTTAAATAACACAAAACCATGCCGTGAAAAATGTATTTCAAAATCTCTCGTTACCTTTTCTTCGTCCAGATCGTTCTCTCTCCCCGAGGAGAGTTATTTTGCAGTTATTTTATTTTACGTAATCAATAGAAAGACGTTGATCCTCAGGCTTGAGAAGAAAGAACGACAAGTTTCACACTCTGGTTCCTTTGGTATAAATTAGCAGGGAATCCATCGATTAATTCGGTACAAATTCGCGTATCCCTTCGACGATGGATTCGTGGGAATTATTAATTAATGCGCGGTAAGCGAAATAGAATGGCGGCGGAAGTCAGTGCGTACGGTAGCGCGAGCGAGCAGTTAATTCCTGCGGGTTTGCTCGTGTATTACGTCGGGAGGGGGTGGATTTAGAGTGCGTCGCCGTGCTGGTTTGCCGGTAGTGATGCTGGATGCCGATGCCATTAACACTGTTTCGTCAGAAATGTAAAGCATAATGCGCTGCCAGCTCGTGGATATAGAACCTATTACCATCAGCCTGTATAACGCGAACCTCTGTCGTTGTTTCGCAAGTTGAACAAGTCGAAACCTTGTGAAATCTAGACCGAATCTAGTTGTCTTCTTTGTAAAAAGTTTATTCAATTTTTATCAATACGTTGTCGACCGGAGGATTTATCTACTCACGGAGGCGAGCGCAAGTGAATACGTAGTAGCGCCTCAATTAAAAGTAACACGAATAATAATGCAGAAAATACGAACGAATATTATCGTCTTAAAAATGTTGGATCAAGCTTTCGGTTAATGACGTTTCGACTTAATGCAAATCGACGGAAGCGAGTACACAGAGGTAGATAGACTGTGTGCCGGAGTTCACTAAATCGACAGCTTGGCGTCTTGTAAACACAAACCAGCGCGATCTTGTTTGCGCTCAGTCGCGCATAATCCGAGGTAATCCTCTTGCACAATATGCGAGTGCGATGTACTTTTCTCCCTTTTCGCTTTTCCCTCTCTCTTTCTCTCTCTCTGTTCTCGTCTGCGCTCCCTTCTCTCGTATTCTTCTCGATTTTGTTACAGTCCACCGTCTCGCGTTTGATACTCCCTTGAGTTCTCTCTTAAGAAAACGAATAACATTATACAGAAACTTGGAGCGAGTGAGAAAAGTAATTCTTGTCTCGTTTTATTATTTTTCTGGCAATAAAGAAAATATTTAATAATATTCCCTCTTTCTCATCCTGTTTGATATTCGAACAACGGCTTTGCAGTTGCATAAACGAAACCATCGTAATAAAAAGAATCTTTCAACAATGTACGAACGCGTGCGAGCGTGCTGGTTGATAAAAGGAAATGCACGAGAGATGTCTCGTCGCTTGTCCGGGGAACTAAAACGCGTAACGGGGCGCTTTGTGAGCCGCGACGAGATAAAAACGCGAGAGAATGAACTAATTAGGACGTAATAAATCCTGAAATCGTTATTTTTTGCCACGTACTGTCGAAGCACGCGAGCACGACAGAGGGAAGTCGCGTCTCAATGGGCCGCGAAACCATGCTGCTGCTGCGAGCGTGTAAAAATGAAACGCGACCATCGCGGTTCATCGTCACCGTGTCGACTTTTATTCAGAACGATCACGAGTGCCAAAGTGAATTGACGATTTAACGCCAGTTACTCAGTGAATGAGACACTGAGTCGTTGGGGGTGCGACGATTCTTCGGTGTTTCGAAAGTTTCGAAAACAACGTCAGTGCTTTTTAGACAAAAAAAAGAACAGTTCTTATATTTTTTTTTATTTCAATTCTTCGAGTAACTCGTTTCAAGAAGCAATTGTTTAAATTTCTTCTCGATCCGGTTCTTAATCTTCTTCCATCCTCCCTTTGGCACTCTCTTCGTTGACTCTAACAAGGAAACAATGCACTTTGAAGCCGATAATTAAACGGTATGCATATGCAATAACACTGTCTCGCAAACAAACTAAATAAAATCTTCTTCGACATTGTCGAAGGGTGTCGAATCACCCCCGGTTTCCTTTGCGATTGATCAAGAAGAGCAAAGTCACAGACAGAACCTCTCTCCTCTCTGTATATCCAGATCGATCCCCGTTTGTGCGCTAATTATCGCGCCAGCGTCGCCACTCTCGACCCCTTCGCGTTTCCGGGTGATACACCATTTCTGTTTCTTTCTCTTTTTTTTTCTTTTCGCTTTAATTCCCAGCTACCGGCTGACAGGTTCCAACAGACGTTGCACGTTACACACGCGTTCTGTTCAGAAGCGACGCGAGGAGGGTAATTACGACACTCGACGCGTCGTCACCGTTCAAAATGAAGATATACTTGCGCGTGTACACATACGTCACGTGTACACATGCGGCTGGTACGGAAGTGCGCGTGTATCTAAGCTTTTAAAAAGGGTTTTCGCGTCGGCAGAGGAACGCATTGTGGCCCTTAAGTTCTCTCGTAGGATGCCGATTCTTTTGCTCAACAAGTCGTGCCTTTTCTAGAGCCTTTACCGGCGTCGTTGTTGCTTGATACGGAGCCAATTAGAACGCAGGGACACCTTTTCAATGTTCGTTACACGGCTGCACGGCAGGTAATTATGACACGATTCTCCTGTAGTCGTATTCGAATTAACGAACGTCTATTAATTAGGCGTGAGGATGATATCGGTGAATGTAAATGTAATAGGGGGTGTTAGGTCGATTACGACGCACGGTGATACCTGCATGTAGATGATGCGAAGTTGTAGGCGAAATAAAATTTGTTGGTACAATAAAGATAGTAAATATCTTGAGAGAAGGGAGAGGAAATCTCAAAAAATTTACAAGAAATATCTCATGTACCTTGTATATCTACGAATAATTAGAGATTCTTGTGCAATCTCTTATATCAAAATCTACACCAGCTGTTTCATTATGGGATAGAACACTTGTCGCACGACACCGTATTTTCAATTATAGATAGCCGAGCCACACTCGCAAATTTACACAGATGTTGACGATGCGATCTCGTTTTTAAAATTAGGTTGGTCTGATCTTAAAAGTCGCACGGGACACAGTTCGAGAAAATCTTCACGCGTGTACAGAATTTATCCTCCCACTTACTTTCGCGGTACATTGATCGGGATAATTTTTTGAAATAGTTTAAAAAATAAATTTAAAGAGAGAAAGATTAAATTTTTCAGGGGTAGTGAGAGAAGGGGGAGAATTTTAGGTGAAAAATTGTGGAACCTGTGACAGAGTTGAACGCGCGGTTAGTTAAATTAAAACGAAGATGATTTTAAGTAGAAAATTTCATTGTTTCAGTGACCGGAAGTGCCTAAAGGCCCGAAGATTCTGCCTTCGCAGCAACTAGGCGCTGCGGTCGCTCCATGGCCGGGCGCCACCGGCCTCCTAGCCTCTGTCACCGCTGACGACATGGCACACAAAGGTAAATTTCAACAGAATTTCTCTCCTACGTTGCTCGGGATAATTAACGAGTTACAGTGAATGTGACAAGTATTCGTACAGTAACTCAATTTCAATAAAAAGTTCATCGATAAATTCTTTTCAATGAAAAACATGGTTTTTTTTAAAGATTTTCACAAACAGAAAATGTGTACACGACGCTTCGAAATCTACAGAATGAATTTCGTATTTCGAAAAAGTGTTATTTATTCATATCGGCAAACATCAGCAGGCGAAATGCGTAATACTTTTTACACTCGAATGGATATTTTTAAAAATTGAAAGATAATATACACAGAATTGTTGGCACAAAATTTACAGCGTGAAACGTTATAGTTTCGATTGAATAATATTAGCGCCTAAATTAATTAAAGTTAGAGTTCATTGCCTGTGCGCTTTCGCGTAGGCAAGTGGTCTTACCAGAGACTGGACGTTTCTACTTGCGTTCCTATGCACGAGTTTCTGTCGCGAGGGAAAGATTGCACGCAAAGCGTTTCGGTGATCCGTTTGCCAGCGGAAAAGTTAAAAATCGTTTCGACGCTGCCAGGGGAATGAATTTCACCGATTATATCGTCAATTATCGAATAACAGAAAGAAAATATATATCTCCGCCGAAGGAATTTAATTCGCGTTTATTAAATTCTTCGCCCCTTTATGCGTCTCTGTCTTTTACTCTTTTATGCTTTAAAAGGTTATTGAGAAGAGGCGATTATAGCAAAAATATTTGCAGTCCTCCAAACTGCAAATGCTTTTTATATTTCCAGTTGAAAGATAACTCTGCCTACTGCAGTATTAGACTGCTATATCGAATTTTCATTGAGCTATTTTATTGTACCAATTATCATCATAAACTGACGACGAAAAACACGCGCGAATCACTGAAACGATACGTCGCGTGGCGGTAAAGGCAATTACGTATTCTTACAATTAGACAAAGATCCGACTCGTGCCCTTTCACGCCAAATTTGTCGCGCCACGACACTATTATACCACCGGCAGCGTATAATAACCGCATACAAGGCATTTAAAGCGAAAACTCGCGAAACTCGCGGCGCAACGAGCCTCAGCAAATTGTACGCGGCCTGTACAGAAGCAGAAGCAGAAGCAGAAGCCGAAGAGAGCTTCGAGAGAGATGGTCGAGGAAACTGCGAACCGGGAAATAGCCGTGAAGCCGAATCGAAACGTCCGAGAATCAAGAGGGAGACGTTCGGTTGATGGCTAAGGCGTTTAACCCCATTAGTACTGAATGGAAGTTCACCGTGGTCTCTCTCTCTCTCTCTCTCTCTCTCTCCTTGTCTTTCCGAGTTTCCTGCGCGTCGCGTTTGCTCGAGCTCTCTTAACACGAAATCGGAGGGGGCTCCAAAGAGGATGAACAGACGACGTCTCAAGGCTTTCTAAAGCCGACACCGAGGCTCCTGCCCTGAAACTGGCTGCTGCTCACTTCACGTATTGATTTCCATTCTCTTACGCCTTACGCTCGCCCTTTTCCGCGGATTCTCTGCCCCTACCTTTCCCCCGTTGTCGAACGAAAATCGACACTTGAAAAATTCATCCGTCAGAACGAAACCGATAACTAAAGTTGCTAAAAATGTTTCATCCGAGGAAATCGCGCCATTTTTTTCTATTCTTTTCTTGTATAAAGATTTCACAAAAACTCTCAGAGGAGTAATTGATCGATTGACTGGATTTGGGAAAATTTAAAACAGAGAGAAATGAAATCGCGGTCCTAACTAGTCGGCTTTCGGTACCGATCCTTTCGCGGTATCCTTTTTGCGGCAGGGGATCTCAAAGTGACGTGTTAAATGGTCGATAGGAATTAAATCATCGAAGAATCTACAAGTGAGCGAGCGGGAATCTGCACGGTGCTCGAAAATCCACGAGTTATCTGACCGAGTGCGGCTCAGTGGGGTGTGTAGCGTTAAGTTGGCGTTAGCTCATCGAATCGCTTCGATGGGAACGACGTCGGCCGCGATCCCGCCAGACGAGGGTTTTGATCGATCGTACGTACAAATCGTATTTCCGGTTTCTCCTCGTCACGGGAACAAATCGAGTTTTCTCTTTTATTTTTTTTTTTTTTCTTTTTTTCTTCCTATTTTCTTCCCATCGTCTTCTTTTTTCGTTCGGCGATCGTTGTTTACACGATTTCGTATTGAATTTGCAACCAATCTCGCTTCCTTCGTTCTTCGATCTTTCAATTTGCAATTTTGTAATCAATCTCTTCGAGAACGATGTAGTAATTTTTTTTTATTACACATATGGTCTCTCTCTTCAATTCGCCAAGCTATTCGAATTCAAAAATTTTCACAAACTGTTTTCAACGTTAAAGAAATATAATTTAAATAGTTACTTCCTTTTGTTGGAAAGTCTTTGTTCTTCCATCGAGAGAAAGCAGCAAAATGACACAACATGCCACGCGAAGCCGTAGGAACGATGACAGTGATACGATTCAGTCGATAAAGTGTCAATTTCAGTTACAAAATGTATGTCCGCAGTAACGTCACCTAATTATCGTGTTTGTACCTCAATCCGGGACGATCTATTTTGTCAAAAGTGTCAAACAAATAGTACATCTTGTCGGTAGATATTTACTTGACCAGAAATGATCGTGAAAGAACGCACGAGAAGTTTATGAAACACAGTAGAAATAGAAAATTCTCTTTCGCAAATCAGGCGTCGAACGATATAGTTGTAAGAAGCGAGGCGTTGGTAAGGAAATGCTATCAGATTTAATCAAGTTTTTAAAACCATTCAGGGCTAAGGTAGCCCGCGTGAAGGAACTCTGAGAGTAACGACGAGGACTTGATTCTAATTTCTGGGCGAGAGTTTCGAAAGTTTGACAAGTCCCCGCGTAGTTCGCGAAACCGAGACTCCATAAATTCTGTCATTAATTTGCTAATGGTTCACAACGTTAGCAGTTCCGCTAACAAGCCCCTAATTTTACGCCAACTTTACACATTCTTCGCTTCCTCGCCGGAAAGGATCGAGTCGAAATACCCGCGAGGCTCTGGTACAATAAAATTTATGAAACTTACACGAAATTATTAAAGTAACGCCTATTTTTTTTTTTTAGCTTGTGAAACAGCGGGAAATTTTTTACAATTTTTGTTCATTCTTTCTCGCGAGTTCGTTTTGCGTAGTTTTTCCAATATCAGGGTTATAGATTCTTCTTTTTTTTTTTGCCATAGGTTTCATTCAGGTGTGTTTTATTGTTTGAGAAATGGCATACTTTGTTCACCTAGTGGACAGTACATTCAAAACGGACATTCCGCGTTGTTATAAAGTTGCGTCCTCTGCTATTCTGATTTAAAAACGAGTTTTCACAAGTTAAGCTCGAAAGTGTATATTTCATTTTTCGACACTTTTATGGCAAAACGAGTCGTCGATTTTTAAACACGAAAGCGTCATGTTTGGATGGTACATTTAGTGGTTAACATATAGCGATACGTACACATCATGTTCGTCTATATTCATGACACAGTATCAAGGATAAAAGAATCGCACGGCGTTACTATCTTTCGGAATTCAGAAACGATCAACGCCTCTTTTTTTCGCCTAGAACGCTCGTTTCCCAGTTTCGCGATGTAAGAAAAGAAGGAGGAAGATGCAGGAAGCATCTCCTCTCGTTCTTATGTTCCATTTCTCTCTCTCTTGCTTTAATTCCGTATACAAGGATCGATCAAAGGGCGATTCGTCGACTGTATCAATCAATTTCAGAAGTTTCGAGCGTCCCTTATTCTTTGGCCTTTATTTTTGAAGTATAATATACGTATAATCTCGTCTCGAGTCTTTCCATCTTGAAACAGTGTTACGAAACGAAAAAACATCAAAACATTCATCCCTCTGCTACGAAATCGTTTATAATGCTCGTAACGTAATCGTAACTGGTGGAAATATCGCATCTAGAAACGAGGCAAGCGAAGAGAGAAAGAGAAAGAGAAAAAGAGAGAGAGAGAGAGTTTCCTTTGCAGCGAAGCGTCGAGGGACAAAAGGAGCCTCGCTTCTTCTTCGCCTCGGCTAAGAAACGAGAGCAGCAACTGTTCTCTGTGCAAACACGCTGCCATCGACGACGACGACGACGACGACGACTCTTCTAACTGTTAAACGAAGTAAAAGAAAAAGAGAAGAAAGAGGGAGGAAAAAAGGGAGGAAAAGAAACGAAAACAGAGACAAAGAAGTATCAGAAGAAGTAGCAGAACACGACAAAGTAGCAGAAAGAGCAGGGCAAAGAAAGCTATCCTCCTGTAAAGGTCTCACTGGGCGAGAGAGAGGAGAGAGAGAGAGAAAGAGAGGAGAGCTTTGAACGTGGAATTCCACACAGCCAGTGCACCCCTTTCTCCTTTCAGACGGAAGAAAAGAAAGAGGGTGTCGGTATTTTTATGTGGGGGCAGTTACGAATTAATTGAATGACACAGGGGAGAAAGAGAGAGAGAGAGAGAGAGAGAGAGAGAGAGGTTGCCGCCTCTCGAGGACGCTGCAGGAAATATGGCTGAGGTATCAAAGAAACCTTCTATCTGTTTTACGCGACTGCCTCGCATTTTAAACAGCCGGCTTCCTGCTCGTCTCTTCTCCTAACTGTCCTCGCGTTTGTCTCGCTGTTGATATATCGAGACTCGCACGTCGTGCCATCAAACGCATCGTTTTATTAACGCGTTAATTCCTTCCCCTTTGAGTCTTCGGTTTGAATTTCTCTCGATTTTCCGACAACGCTCCTCCTATCCGGCGGCTGACCACCGACCGACGACGATGCGTCGTCCATCGAAACGTCGAAGCCGAACGTCGCAAGACGAGAGACGGCTGCCGATGGCAGAAGATAGTCGGACGTGGAACTGTACGTCTCGCATCAGGTGTATTCGACTGTAAAATTCCCTCTTCAAACAGAAACGGGTGGCTGGCACATTTCGGCGGCTGGCTAGGTCCAGGCTGAAAAAGATGGGGGAGGCCCGGAGGGGAGGGTGACCCGGAGGAATTCCCGGTCCAATACAG